ATGAGGTCTCGCTGCCCAGGTGGGTCTCGAACCCGCGGGCTCAGGCATTCCACTCACCTCAGCCTCCCAAAGGCACGGTATTATAGGCTGAGCCACCGAGCCCGGCTTGACCCGATGTTCTTATAGCAATTGCAAAAGAGTAGAAGGATTGAAATAAGATGATTTTTTTCTACTATATTGTATACTGAACAGTATGGGTAAGTATATATGCACATTCATTTTGATTTGATTTCATTTATAAAGCTTTCTTTCGAAGTTTTGAGAGTTTAATACAGTTCAGACACGTGCGGATCATTTTAGTAGTAAGGTAATCTGTTGGATGTCTGGAATGACATTTATAGCCTTTGTACCATCTGTGGGACCTGTTACTTGCCGAAGAAGTGAATTTTCCAAACTCAGATGTCAGGAAGTCATGGGTTATCCCAGTGAAGCATACCAAATAGAATCTCTGTATTAGGAGAAAAAGATTTACCGATCCAAACTTGGGGCTGCTTCATCCTGTGGAATCTCAGTTTCTTCTTCTACAGCATAGGAATTACAGAGTTCCCATGGGTTAGTGATTAGTGGTATGTTAGAACGATATGTGTCCTAGTTCGTTTTTTGTTGTAACAAAGGAATGCCTGAGACTCGGTCATTGATAAAGAAAGGGGGTTTATTTGGTTCACTGTCCTGCCAGCTGTCGGAGAAGCAAAGCTCCTAGTGAGGCCTCAAGAATCTTCCATCCAAGGAGGAAGGTGAAGAGGAATCTTGGGCCTGTCATGTGGTGAAAGAGGAAGCAAGAGACGGGGCGGGAAGTGTCAGGCTCTTTTCAACAACTGGATCTCGCGGGAGCTAAGAGGGAGAACTCGCCTAGTTCTGTGAGAAGGCAACATACCATCTGTGAGGGATGACCTGGACGCCTCCCCCCAGGTCTCCTCTTCCGTCCATGGGTGCCTGCTGCTGTCTCCTGCCCACAACTGTGGTCTCTTCTGTCATCAGGCCCTTGGGCCCTCGCTTTGCCACCTTTGCCTTGCCAGCTCCCAGCCTGGGTGCCTTTGCAGTGGGCGGTTTCACGCACTGGTTTGCTAGGCACTGTGCTACCCCTGCGACCACCCCCCTTGCACCTCACCCCACAGCACTCCATCCTGCATCTGACCTCACCCCCCCAATTTGATCTGGGATGCCTTTTCTCCCGGGCGAGACCTCCTTGTGCTCTAACACCTTGTCCAGCCACTGCCCCCCAGGAAGCTGCTTCTTTCCTTTTGGATGGGGTTGGAGTCCCCTTCTTTGCTTTTCTGTGAGTCTCTGTGCAGATCTTTCGTAGGTGAATTATAATGACCTGTTTTTTTTCCCAGCTTTCTCGCTAGACTATGAACTTCTAGAGGATCGGGTGGGGGTAGGGATATGCCGTACAGCTTGTGTCCTCAGTGCCCTTCTTTGGACTTTGTCGGGATCCCATTGACCTGCAAGGTTCCTTTTATCCTTTTGCCTCCAGGGTTTCGGAAGAAGAGCCTGGTGCAGCAGGTTGACATCCTCACCATGGGCTGACTTCTTGAACCTTTGCTTGTCTAACATCCGCCTTCCCTGTTCTATTGAAATTGCCCTAGTAACATCTCAGAAGCTGGATCTGATGCCATGTGCTGGATCCTCAGGCTCCTTTACTTCTCTGACTAATTTGGTGCTGGCTCAACCAATAACTTTATCTCTGAATTCTCTTGTATGACTTCCCAGTTCCTTTAGACACATTTTGTTTCCTGGTTTGGATGCTCTTATTTCTTCAGTAAAGGTTGTATGATTTTTCTCCCTTAATCGACTCCTTATGTAGGTAGTAATGCTTTGTTATGCATTCTTTTCCAAACCTGAAATTCTCATTTTTTGTATGTTACAAGGTGTTTTTTCCAGGTGATGATTTGAGGGGGTGATTTATTGCTATTTTTGTGTGTCCATTTGCATTCTCTTCCCAGTGGTCTGTTAATTTTGTTAAT